GTTGTCCTTTATTCGAGATAATGAAATTTATATCATTGTCGACGGTCCGCGACTGTTCACCAGTAACTTCCATCTTCTATTTATTTCTCAAATAATAAACAATCGATCGTTATTGTTTCTTATATATTCATTGCACTGAATGACCGACGGTCTGACTGACCAATGATATATTTAATAGAACATAATCCAATATGGATTATGCAATAATGACATCTTTCTCGATCATCTCCCAAAACAGCCGTTCTTCGAATATTTTACTTTTATATTTTTAAACTTTTTCAATATTTTGCTTTCGACATTTTTACTGTCGATATTTTTACTTTCGACACTTTTATTGTCGATATTTTTATTTTCGACATTTGTTACTTTCGACATTTAACTTTCGACATTTTTTTTTTCTACATTTTAAGTTTCGGCCAAAGTTGAGATTACCAACGTGTTCGTCCGTTCCGAACGCGTTCTGTGACCGTTCGCCTCGACATGGGTCAATTTCGTTTTTTTTTGTTTTTTTCAATAAAAACAAATAATTGATGATTAATATTATCTTTCTATAGAAACTTTTTCTTTTTATAATCGAAGAATATTATGAAAAAAAACTCCATATATGATTATATCTATAATAATATGTTTTAAATATTGATTTTATTTGAACAAAAAAAAATAACTCATTTCAAATCGATATATTAACAATGATTTTTTTCAAGAAAATATAATTAGATAAATATATATTTAAAATAATTATCTATATAGAAGTTAACCATATATCTTAGATAAATATTTGAATGTTGAATATATTAGAAAAATGATATCAACTAATTGAGATAAACGCATTATATAAGATTTGTTTTTTGGTCAATAAAGAATAGATTTTCAATATAATGAAACTTGATTATTTATGACAAAGATTGAAAAGGTTTCTCTCATTTTTATTCAGCTGACAAATTGAATTTCTTTGACCAAATCAATAATAACAACAACGAAAAAAAAAGGATTCTTTATTGAATTTTATTTTGATCACCAACGACTATATTCATTTGTTGAATATGTTATTTTACCAGATGGAACAATAAGCAAATTGACAAGCACATGAATTTGATATGGCTATGGCTATTCTATTTAATAACGTTTGAGAACGAACACAACGTCAATACTAACAATTATTGAACAAAACTGGATTTCAATTTAAAAAATTATATCCAATTCAGGCACCCAATTCAATTATTGAAGCTATTCCTATTTGATTATTCAAAACTCAATAATTTCATCGAACATTCTAGAAAAAATATTTTAAAAAATCATTATTTTTAATCTGTTTTCAAGAATTTTATTAAAAATAAACGTATCGATGGGAATATTCAATATATTTATCTAATTTTTTTTTGCATTATTCGATGATTTCTATTCAAAAAAAAACATCGAATCAGAAGTTAGATAATAATAATAATTGATGAAAGAATAAATTAAGAAATGATATAACAAAATTTGATTTTCGATTGTGAAGACATTTTTTCTCTATCATTCTCTTTCTCTTCCATTATTATTAAATATCAAAGATATGAACAGAAAACTGATTGATCGACTCTATTTAATGATTTCTCCTAGAAATGAACGAGAAAAGATCGACATTTTTCTAGGTCATGCTGTTCAGGTATTCATACAATATATATCGTAATCATTCGTGAATCTTTCTTTGTTCATAGATGTATTCACCATTCGTATTCACATTAGTCTATCGATTTCGATGAATCTAGGCATGCTCGATGGTAGTAAATCATAGACGAGAGAATCATTGTGATCAATACTGACGGACATTTCGTGCTTCGATATATCTAAACGTGTAATGGATAGTCATATATCAGAAAATAAAATAAATAACAACTTGAAGAACGAAAATAAAATAGCCGTCTCTATCAGTAATTCGTTGTCTCTTTCATTTTCTTCTATCCTATATAAATCAACGACCATACTATATTTCTTTACAAATAATTATCATCACACATTCGACAAACATTAAAGATGGTATGTATAAAAAGTTTTTTCCGTTCTTAACCATTTCTTTATATAGAGCTGACCTCTTCGATGGGCCAATGATAATTGAACAATGCTTTTCTTTTTCTTCTCATTATCGTTGTATGAAGGAAAAGCATTGTTAACTAGCATCAGTTCATCGAAGAGGTCAGCGATATATAAAGAAATGGCTATCATCGACGTACTGATATCGATATTCAAAGGGTCTTAGCTTTAAGATAATATGATCGTTTTGTTTTAGGCGAACAATACAACAACCGTAATCAACGTCTTGCGTACACATTTGGATGTATTACGGGCTCATCAAAAAATCAAATATCCTCAACATAATTACATCACCTGGCCTATGATATTAAAATTGGTGCAAGATATCAATCAATATTATACTTGTGGAATAGTCAGTACAATATATATTGGCAAAAATTAAATATAATTTTCTTTCTTTTATAGACCAATGTCGAGGATGTAGCATCGACAGTTGCTGGTGTTGGGGGTGGCAATCATCAACAACAATTACAACGATCCGAACAGTATATGTTGGATCTATTGGCAAAAGTAAGGATTAACTCTTATTAAACAGATCAAATATGTAACGTCTTTCTCCTTTTAGGTCGATCCAGTGAAAAATTCTATCTTGACTCATCTGAATATAAGGCGTGAGTTCTATACTCATTTAAAAAACCAATAAACTATCACGTTTTTTTAGCCTAGTTTGTCATTGTGCTGATGGCATCTTGACTCATTGATGGTCTTATTCGTCACTTTGGTCTTTATGATGATATTTTTCTTTTTTGTGTTCCTCACTTTTTTTTCATCTTTTTTTGTGTACTCAAAAAGTGAGTACACTACTAAAATCGGTCAGTGTGTCCGTCCGTCCGTCCGTCCGTATACACGATAACTTTCGAAAGGAGAGTCAGATCGTGATGAAATTTTCTACACAGTTCAGTCTCATCAATGTCTCAGTCGAGTTCGAAGATGAGCCTGATTGGACGAGCTCTTCCTGAGTTATTGCAAAAATACTGATTTTTTTCCCTATGCTTCCCTATGAGAAAATCGACCCTTCTCTGTTTCCCTTAAAAACTTTTCCTATCATGGTCAATTAAAACCCCAACTATTATATACCATTCGATAGAGAATTTCACGAGCTACAAAATGGTATATAAAACATAAGGAAACAAGGAAGCTAACTCACCTATTGCAAAGATAATTAAACGGAACTCGGTTCTGTTTTCGTCCACGCTCTATGTGATCTACAATTAGAGCTCTATCTTCCGATCACAGAGATGATAGTTTGAGGTTTTCTAGGGTGGAGAACTTGAATCTGTGTTCCATTCGCCTCGAAATCTCATTGGTTGACCAGTAACCAATAGAAATCAAGTTATAGGAAAAACGACTTTCTTAGGGTAAATCAAGGTGAAGAGTACAAATCTGAGCTATATTCGCTCCCAAGCCCTATTGGTTGGACAATAGCCAATAGAAAACAACAGTTTATAGGAAAGTTTTCCCAGTGTAATTTTGATGTCAAGACATTCCAGGATGACTTATCTGTCTAATTCACTTTTTGAAGTACACATAACTCTCGGATTTAAATCCGAAGTTTCCGCATTTATTTCTTCTTAACCTTGATGATCTTTTCTGTCTTGATGACGGTCGTGTTGTGATTTTTCGTCTTGATGATAGTTTAAATATTCATTTTTGTCTTAGTGTTGACCTCATCAATAAATAACCAGATGTTGACATTTCATTATAATTAATCACAGAAAAATCGGTTTCTTAGTGAAATAAATTTATTGCAAATTGAATAGTTTCGAAAAAAAGACCTTTTTACAAATGAAAATCATCAGCGATGGGTTTTTTTTGTTTGTTTTCTATGAATAAATAAGAAGAAAGTGTGTCTCTGATTAAAAAATGTCAATGATGATTTTGCTTTGAAACAATTTACAAAAAGTTAATCCATTAAATTTCCATTATCATTTAAATCATCATCATGAATTATATGTGGAGATGACATTGATGATGAGATTGTTGATGATGTTGGTGATTGAGGTGCATATGTTGGACCTTTTTATAAAGAAAATATTTTCAAACAATTAAAAAAATTCTTCTCAACAAACTGTAGCTCGGTGATGTTGGAACTAAATAAATAAATACGAAAATGATAGATTTTAAATAAAAAAAAGTACCATACTGTATGATGGACTTGTTCGAGCTAAATAAAAATAAAGATTTAATCGATTAAAATAAATAATATGAAAATGCCATTACTGTATGATGGACTTGATGGAGAAATAAGATGGACTTTGAGGAGAATATTTAGGTGGTGGTCCATATATTGAATAACCGGGTGATGATGGGGAATAACTTTTTATCAAATATTTAGTTTAAAACAAAAAAGATTTTCTTTTCTTACGTGGACTTGATGGGAAAAAACCGAGTGATGATGGAGAACATTCTGGACTTGCTGGAGCATACTATGGTGATGTTGAATCTTGTCTTCCTCCAGCTGTTGAATAATTTGGACTTGTTGGGCTATATTAGCAAATAAATATTGATTAAAAAAGCTAAAGAAGAAAAACAAACTTGTCATGAGGTCATTTTGATCCATAAATATTAATTGGATCACTTGATGGATATCTTGGTGATATTGGAGAATAGCTTGGAGAATTTGGTGAATAAGTAGGTGATGTTGATGAATAATTTCTTGTTGATTGTGGATAATAATTGGATGGTGCTGGTATTTGATGATAAGGTGATGGTGACATATGAGATGGTGATGATAAATGAGCTGGTGAAAAACCAGTTGTATCTGAAGAACTTGGTGAAGAAGCTCCAGATGTTGTAAGTGGTGTCATTTGTTGTGATGGTGTTGAATATGGATTTATCCATGGCGTTTGAAAATTTGAATGATGCTGATCAAATTCTTTTCTTGCTTGTTCACTCATAAATGTATCTTGAGGAAAATTCATTTGTAATTATTTTGTTGATGAACATTTTTCAACATCTAATAATAAATCAAATGATACAGTAGCAATTTTAGTTAATTGTCCTAATAAAATATTTTCCGAAACTCCTTTTAATGAATCAAATTCTGCATGTGCCGCTGCTTCCATTAAAACATCAACACTTTCTTCAAAAGAACATCTCATTGTAGGTCCAACATCTTGTCTATTAATTCCATGTCTTGTTATATCCATTAAATGTCTTTTAGTTGTCATAATATCATAAAGAAGAGCTAAATGACGATAATTAACATAAGAACCATCAAATGAAATAACATGATTCATTTCACGTTCAATAGCTTTTCGTACAGCGTCAATACTAAATACATCAAATATTTCTACCACATCATTTGTATAAGTTCTTCTTAAATCAATGTCTTTAGTAGCTGAAACTTTTTTAATGAAGTTCCATCAGTTTCTAACATCCAATCATCAATTGTTTCAATTTCACCATTATCATTAATTTGAATTCTTGTTTTTGATTTATCAAGTTTTGGATTAACCGTATAAACTTTTGAAATAGCTTCAATACCTTGTAAAGTTAAATCAGCGTATAATTCCTTATTTGAATTTCCGAAAGCTTGTTTCATTTTCTGTTAATGGATATAGAGAAGGTATAGGAGGTATAGAAGGTATAAGGAGGTATAGAAGATATTGGAAATATTTAGACATGTACCAAACCCGAACTCAACTTCAAGTTTTGATACCGAGCTTTATGAGATTGAGCTCGATTTGAACTCGAACTTGGAAACTTGATTGAGCTCGAACTCGAAAACAGATACTCGGACTCGATCGAGCTCAAACTCCAAAAGCTCGAACTCGATCGAGCTCAAACTCCCAGAACTCGAACTCGGTCGAGCTCAAACCTCAAAAGTTCGAACTCGATCGAGCTCAAACTTCAAAAGTTCGAGTTCCATGAATCAAGTCTAGATTGAGCTCAGTGATGGCTATGGATGGGGGGATCGGTGTGTGTGAGGCTCAACCAAAGGTAATTGGGGTCCAGAAATCCGAATCTGCAATTAGTTTTTGAAAATTTTGAACTTGATTTTTTTCGTAAAAGGAAGGCTTTTTTAAGAAAATAACATTTTTTTATAAGGCTCAACCGCAGATAATCCAGATCGGAAAATCCGAATCTGAAGTCAATCTCGCAAAATTTTGAGTTTGG